CTTTAATGTATTGCTGGGATAGTGGGATTTGTCATCCTCTATAGCTGATAGTACATTGTGCTGTATATTATACACAGCCATGTACCATCAGCTATAGTTTCTTTAGTTTGTTCAGTTAAGGTTTGAAAATGACAGAGAGAAGCTGATTGGTTGCCACGCACAGCTGCTCCAGATTTTGTCTGCTCCAGTTTTGATAAATTCCCCTCAATGTATGTATAATATATTCCTATATAGCTGGTGGTATTCTGCATTGCTGTATAATGTATTGCTGGGATTTATAGTCCTATATAGCTGGTGGTATTCTGCATTGCTGTATAATGTATTGCTGGGATTTATAGTCCTCTATAGCTGTTGGTATTCTTCATTGCTGTATAATGTATTTCTGAGATTTATAGTCCTCTATAGCTGGTAGTAGATGCGGCTGTGTTAAAGTGACAGGGGCAGTGTCCTCCGCCTCCCGGGTCCAACAAACACTACTGTCGCCTATCTAGAGGCAGAGCCAGCTGTACCTGCCCTCTCCCCCGTCCATTCCTCCAGTCAGCGCTGAAGGATCGGAGCGGGGAGGGGTGGAATCCCTGCAGGGAGCAGTGACGGTATGTGTTCGCTCACTTCCCGAACTATTGAGCCGACGTGTGACAGTTTAATTGTCACACGTCGGCTTGAACTATGAGGATGAGTGATTTTCACTCACCTCATAGTTCTCCTTTAAATATAGATGAATATTGTTTTCAAGGTACAGTATATATTAACCATTGCACCAGCTTAAAGTGGACCTGCAAAAAAATAAAGGGATTTGTTTCTCATGTCTTATAGGGAATAAAAAAAAGGTTAATTGTGCCTTAACAGTATTCAGAAAACATCTACCTTCATTTTGAATTCCATCTGAATTATAGTGGTGTACTTCCTGATCCTTACATGTGACTGAGTATAGACACTCCTATGCAAGCAGTCTGTGGATCTATGCCTCTTGATCATTACGTTACCAGCCATCAGATCACCTGTCATCAAGGGGGCTGGTCTGCCATGAGGAAGCAAAGCCCTGCTCCTTTACCAATATGGCTGCCTCCACAGTGAGATACACTGGGGAATAAGCCTTGGTTAGTAAAAGCTGCAGGTAGCCTAGAGACTGTACTAATGACTAGTTATTTGCCCTCTGATTGCCTTTTCTGGGCACTGAATCCACATTGCAGATCCTCTTCAAAGGGAGAGTTTGTTTTCTTTAGCTGGAGTACTGCTTCAATGTATACAATTACATATGTATTAAACCATTTACATGAGAACGGAATTAGTTACACTTGTAGAAAAATAAACCCTAGATGATGGAACCATACTTCGCTGCATAGCTTTTCCATCAGCAAAGATTAGTAGCACTTTCCCTAAGCTAGAAATGAAGAGTTAAGAGCAACACTTTCATGCTGCATGCTTTGGGACTGTAACCAGCATTATGGTCCCAGTTGCAACTCTGTACCATAGATTTTTACAGACTGCTTTCAAATCTTGTATTTCCACAAGGCATTCATTTAATGGAAAGCCACACTTTGTGGGAATGTAATGAAGCATTTTACAGCAAATGCGAATTTGATAAAACACTTTCTTAGAGAGTAAGCCGCACAAATTACATGGTAGCAGTGCGTACATAAGCAGCCGTACATAGGCAACCATTAAAGCATTTTAAAGTGCTGAGCAACATCCTACTACAGGGATAGGTAGCCTCGAAACTTCAGCAGTTGTGGAACAACAAGTCCCATGAGGCATTGCAAGACTCTAAGCCTCCATTCCCACCTAGGCAACAGCGTTTTCGCATGTTTTTCTGCGCATTTTTGTCTAGAGTATTTGGAAATTGTTCTGCATTTTTACAAGTATCTATGTACGCTTGTCATGCGTTTTGAGGCATTTTCAAAACACTTTTTAATAGTGTTTTCAGCTACCAGCTGTGCTTGTGTGGCAAAACATGCCACAAACAATTGCGCTGTGCATTTACTGGCATTTCCATTAAATTCTATGGGGCCAAAAGCAAAGAAATCTGCAAAAATATAGCTCATGTATTTTTTCCAGCAACAGGTGTTTTGCTACAGGCAACAGAATGCTCAGGTGTGAACAGGAGCCATAGAAAACAAGGGGTTTCCTTGTGTTCAGCATTTTGTAGCTCCAAACTTTAAAGAAGAACTATTGGAAGAGTGAAATACACTCATCCCAATAGTTTGAGCCAACATGTGATGCTGCAGCTTTCACATGTCCGCTCTATTGATTGTGAACTGAGCAATTACATTGCCCCTCTCCTCTCCATTCCTCTAGTGCTGACTGGAGGGAAAGACAGGAGAAGGGGCAGACACAGCTGGCTCTGGCTCTAGACAGGCAGAGCCAGCTGTCAATCAGGCAGCGGGGTGTATCCTGACAATATTGTCGTGATCCTTCCCAGCTGCAGTGCAGCTCTGTGCTCTCAGCATATAGCCATCAGTAGTCCCCTATATGCTGAGTTTTGGGTCACAGGAGGTCTAGGTGTGAATGGAGTCTAAATGTCACAGGCATGACTCACTGAGGCAGAGGCATGTTGGAACTTGTAGTTAGACACTAGCTGGAGTGCCTTATCCTGTCTTACTATATGCACAGTAAAACTGTATGAATAATCATAGTAGCTGAAAGAGTCAATGAATATCCAGATCATACTAGAACCTATTTTTGTCAGTAGCAAATGTTAGCTTTCTGAAATGTCACTCAAGTAAATAAGATCTTGGAAAGAGCCTTAGAAAGCAGAGTAAAGTTAAAGGTACACGACAACTGTAGAGTTATGTATTGGAAAGAATAGTTCCAGGAACGCTGTTTATTAAAGCGTTTCCGGCGGCAGCCACAAGGGGATTCTGCAGGCACAGAGTCATTTACAAATGCTGAATTACTTATGCCTCCAAGAGCTGCATTCAAGTAATTGGCAAAGAGGTTATTGTGGCTCCCTTGGTTTAGAAATAATAGTGAAAGCAGCGGACCTGAAGGAAATAGGTTGTCAGTGCTAACAGATGGTCAATGCTCCCTTTACAGGAGAAGGCGCTGCCCACTCTGCTGGTGCTGAATGCCACTCCATGCAGGCATACAACCTCCTTGTCATGCTAAGGCACACTCAGCCCTCTATAATGGACTTTTTAGATCCTTGCACTTACTCGAAGTCTTATATTTAAGCTAATGACGCTATAACAGAATGATCTGCTCTGTCAAATATACATTTACTAAATATTAATGTTTTAAGAATTCAGGAGGGTTTTTTTTTGGTAAAGTAAAACATTTATCAGTGCATTAGCAATCGGTGTCTTTATCACAAGTACAGTTTTCCTAGAAGGGAGCATGCATAAATAAAACATTATAGGCTAATGATGACATGTTGCATAATGGCAACTCATTATCCCCGACATAGGCTAAACAGAGAATACAAATTGGACTCACATATATGACGATCTGGATCTGTCTTTTGCATAGTGCACTTCACCTGAGCATCATTTCTATCAATGTGAACTACATCACATTAAACTAAGTGATTATGATTTTGCAACTTTCATTCTGTAACTAACAGGGTCACTAATGTTGCCTGACAATGATCTAGAGACGGTTAGGATTATTTAATAAGTGCGATGTGCAAGCAACCCAACCAATCAGCAATCATCTTTCGTTGTCTTGACTATGCTGAACCTACAGAATATGAAATCTGGTTGCTCTGGGTTATGCTATTGCTATTTGCATTGCTCAAAGTATCAATGATCAATGATCCATGATTCAACCTTGATATATATCGTGCATAGGAACTTGGGTTGCTAGCAATCCATTGTGCAGATCCTCTCCCTACAACTAAACTGTATAGGTGTTCTGTCGTGTAGATGGTATCATCAAGCTTGTCACTGGCATTGACTCCTATGGCTTGTGATCGCTTGATAGCAGCTCTCTTGCAATGACAGGGCTAACATCAATACACTGTAATGAACTTTCCTGTTTGCAGTTGAGGCTGCTCAGGAGGAAAGATTTGAGATGACTGCACTGTGCATGCGATGTGTCTTGTGTGCTCCTCTCCTGGAAAAGCCAATGAAGTCTTCTATTTAAGAAAATGGAGAGTGATTTATGCTGGCGTGATTGCATTCTTGGTAGTCCTACAAGCCTCTAGCAGAAGACAAGGATGTAGCTTTTGTTTGCTCTCTCCATGAGCACAGATGACACACCTTACAGTACCTTTTCTAGCCTCTGATCAGCTGGAATATGTATATGGACATCTCATGCCTGTTATTTTGGGTGAGTTACGTCGGTCAACTAGTGCTTGCTCCATGTCCGACAATAATGATGCTTCTCAGACTCTCTCACTCCGCCTCGATTTTTAAGGACCGTTTCCTAAGCACAAGAAAAGCAAGAAGTGTATGACTGGATCACATGGGCAGTAATGTACTGACTGAGGCCACCGGCAGTCACCAAGTCACAGAACCCACTTGTGACATATTTCCTCTCTCGCTCTCTGCTACTGGGATGCTCTTTTCGGAGAGGGAGGCTTGCTGCATAGGTGCAGGTAGATTCCCGGGGATCAGGAAGAATATGGTGCTTGAGGATTTAAAACCTCCCCGAGTTGCAGTCCAGTCTCTGCCTACAGTAAAGACAGTCGAGTTCAATCGCTTTCATGCCTGTTGGAACTGAAGGTGTTATTCTTACTCTTTGGATATAGGTGCGCTTCATTCACTGTGCCTTTTGCCCCCTTCTTGCTTTTTGGATTACGAACTGCATTATAAAATCCCATATACATGCGTAGAAGAAGTACAAAAGGAGAGACAGAGTCCAGCTGAGTGTCATTACAAGAAAAGTGCAGGATTTTGTTTTTTCTCTGAACGCAGTTGGCATAGGTCTAAGGAGCCTTGCTTGTCTTTGTATCTGGAAGCATTGCACTAACAACCTACAAAGTAAAGCCAAGGCTAAGTTACAGTCGAAGAGGAACAAAGAGGCACCGTGATTTTTTCTTTACTTACATCACTGTGGGCTCAGTGCATATTCTCATTTTTGTACAGTGTACATGATAACACTGCTTGCAGTCATGTCTGCTAAGCTCCTAGTGCTTTTCCTCTTACTGTTGGTTTTCCAAGCCTGGTAAGTGAAAAATCTAAATGTATTGTGAGTATGTGCTTTGTGTCTTGATTGTGTTGTACTGGCAACGATAGTTGATTCAGTTTTACCAGCTCTCTTTCCACATTTAAATCACTACTCATTCACAGAGTCCTGATGAAAGTGATTGATTGTCCTCATATTAGTGAGGAAATTGAACTGAGCCAACTGATGCTACTATATGTGTGCTGCTGTGTCTCTAAGGAAGTTGGTCTTTCAGTTTATTGCTTTATAAAATACCCCTGGTTTGAAAAGGCAGGCAGTCTGACAAAGGGCAAAGCATTGAGAAGGCAATCATTTTAAGAATGCTCTAATGTGCAAACGGTTCCACTTTCATAGAACAGCTACCTGTTTAAGTATTACTTGCACTTTTTCTATTGCTAACTTTGGAGAAAAATATGCATTTAGCACCCATGCACTGCTTTCCTTCTGATTTCTAATTGTGAGGTTGGCAATCACATGCTTTATAAAGAACCCACTCAATTTTTCACTGCTGGCAGTAACATTTATCTTTGTTTGTTGGAACCCAGCCAATAAACTAAAAAGACTTTTCAGCTGTAAATCGCAGGCTTATTTTATAACCTACAGTACAAAAACCAGTCCTAGTAAACCACAACACTAATTGAAAAAGAGGGCAGCTTTTACTGGCCTGTCCATTACAAGTTAATCACATTATGGTTGGTTGCTACATACTGCTGTTTGTTATTCTGCTCTTTTCAGCTATAAATCGTAGGCTTATTTTATAACCTACAGTACAAAAACCAGTGCAAGTAAACCACAACACTCATTGTAAAAAGAGGGCAGCTTTTACTGGCCTGTCCATTATAAGTTAATCACATTATGGTTGGTTGCCATGAGTTGCTACATCCTGCTGTTATTTTAATCTGCTCTTTTTCAACTTTATACTACTTATTTATGCAGAGGGGTTATTTGTCACTGCTGTTAATGATGTTTATACTCTGTGGTGGGGATCAGTCTTCTGTAAATGAAAAATGGACTACAGCTACGCAAAGTGGATTATAGGCTTCTGATCATTAGGAAATTGTAATAGTTTGTAAGGTAAATGGTACATATATGTACTTATATACAGAAATTGGAATTGGGAGAGTGGTTCTATGGTAAAGTAAGACTTACAAAACGTGCAGTGGACCATTCTATGATGCAGAGTAAAGAAAGTAGCTACCATTTAATCTTCCTGTTTCCCCTTGAAACTTAGTAAGACAGTGTGACTGCCAATGAATAATATCAGACAAGAAGTATGGTGTCTGTATCTGGCTGCCTCTTAGCCTCTAATACATTTTTCTTGTAAGGTCTATGACAAGGATATTAATTCTTTAACATGGACTGGTCAACTTCTCTGTTCCATCTGAGCTCTATTACATTTAGTAATGCCTAAGAGCATTGTCAATGTAATGGCTTATCCTTGCTCTTGTCTTATTTATTGCTTGAATATTGGGATTTACAAATTCTGTAAGGAGGGAAGTTTTGTGTCATGGAACCGAACTACAGATTCAAATTTTTGCACTCTTAGGTGTAAAATGTAGTTCTTTTAACTCTTATGTGTCTATTTCTTCATAGTGTTTAATTTTGCAAAAAAGGGAAAAGGTGTATGGCAAACAATAGGGGACAGAATAACAGTAGAGAATGTCAAGGCCTGAGGGGCTACGTTGGAACAATAATCATTAGCATGGTGTAGCCACATCTCAGCTGCAGTATTTTTGTGAAGTATATCATTATTAATGTAATGAAGCCAGTACAGTTTATTATGAGGGCAGAACAACTAAAATGCTGCTGGTTCTGACTTTCAAAGTAAAAACATAAGATTTTATATTCAGTTGGTAAAATGAGTGCCACAATTAACATTACTGGTATTTATAAATACATTTGTTATGCTAGCAAGCATTGCATTGCTCCATTTTTTAAAACACACATTTTTTTAAAGGTTAAGAAATGTTATGCTATCTAAATAATTACTTTAGTATGTTTTATGGTACAGTAGATAATATGTAATAGCACAGCAGTGTGGAGAAACAATACGTTTCTCTAATACTGAAGACATATTCTAGAAACAATGCTATGCTTTGTTGCCATTTGTAAGTATGTGTTGCTTTCATCAGAAGCATATGGATGTTTATTTCTGTAAATGTACATTCAAAGTGGAGTGCAGACATCCACAAACCTAACAGATGTTTCTAAGAAAATTGTATATTAAAGCATGCATCAGTAAACATTTCATTTTACTGCAGTTCAAGGAAGATCGATGATGATGAATATGAAGATTTAACAATAAACCAAAAATGGGTACTGGCTCCAAAAACACAAGACACGGATGCTACTCTTATACTCAACAAGTTGCTGAAAGAATATGACAAGAAGCTGAGACCTGACATTGGAGGTGAGTTTTCTGTCTTTTTCAAATTAAACTATAAAAATAAACCATGTAACTGGTGGTAACAGTGCAGCCAGTGTGTGTGTGTGTGTGTGTGTGTGTGTGCGCTATAATTTAGTGTACAGTTGATGTTCTTATGTTTCACACTTGATAAAAGCCAAGGAACACACAGACACGAGTGGGCTTACATAATTAACATGCACCACAATTAGCGCAAAGGAATACATTACGAATTATAATAAAACAACAAGATAGCATTTTGTTGTAGTAACAGAGCACTATTTAGGCGCATTTATTGAATTATTTGTATTTTTATTTATCTACAGAATGGTAGTGAGGTAATAGAAATAAACATGACTATGGCAATGTTGCTACTGCCATACAATGAGCAATTGAAAATCTCTGGTTTGGGACTCTTTAGATCATTCACAAAGCTAGACAACACTCAATATAGTGCTACGCCTGAGCATTGCAAATAATTATTCAAAATGGCTTTGCTCACAATATTATTAGCTTGAAATGTTAATATATACTCTAATTGGCTTGGTAAAAACATGTTTGGTTGTCTAGTAAACCACTGCATGTCCAATTTTCTCTGCTCATTTTCTTTAGAGGAACCGTAAAATCCAAATATAGCCTTTTCATGTATGTACAGTCAGAAAAAAAATGTGATTGTTTTTATAAAAAAAAAACCTGTGTTTAGCCAGATGAAATTGTGCTCACTCCAAAGCTCCAATCAAGTGCAGATGAAATGTCTATTTTAAAAAATATATATTATTATCATACTGTATATATGATTCGGTGAACTAAACTCAGAATTAGACAGCTAAACGTTGTAAACCATTTCTTTAGCAAATTGCATTTAAGGAATTTCAATTAAAACAGAAAAAAATAATGTGTCAATAAAGTCTCAACAATACTGTAGTTTGCAGTTAGTTTATAGCAAGGTTGTTGGTTTTTGTAAGCAGCAAAAAGGGGCATTACAGATTTAGCAGTGTCCTTGGTTTGTAGAATGGGAAAGCCCTAAGCTAAAGTCCAGCTCCCAGTGAAAGAAGGCACCAAGGACCATACGGCTTCCCACATGCACAGGAGTAGTTATGTTCAATAATACAAGCACCTGCAGGGATCTTGTGGTGCCCACTTTAATTTTCATTGTAATATGTAAGAAAAACATAGATTTTCTTTTAATATTTATTTTACAAGAATATGCCACATGTGCTCAGTATTAATTAAGAGTATGCTGTAAAGGCAACAGCCTGGGATGAATCTGCTTCTTCATTCGCTCTTCTTTATTAGTCCTTATCATGATTAGTATTATAGATTTCTAGAATAAAAAACAAAGGAAAGCCTTAGCCATATCCTTTCTGTGTAATAGTGAACCAGTTAGTTGAAAATTAGATGGAAATGAAATGAAAGATGCCTAGTACTGGGGTTGAAATACTAAATGCAAATAGGCAGTTTATTGTGCAAGAGAGTTTTCACTTTGCAAGGGAATTTTCACTTAGTTTGGTAAATGAGGGGAAGCTATGCTGACTTCCATCATCCAATCATGTGCAAGCAAAAATACTTTTTTTTTTATGTTCCCTGCATCTAATTGGGTATTCATTGCAAAGTGGATTTTCCCCATATTCACTAAGCTAAGGGAAAATACACTTGCAAAGTAAGAAACCTTTTTGCCTTTAGTAAATCAACCCCACTGAGACCTGTTTACGTAGCTTATTGAAAGTGAATGGCTTGTGTTTTATTACACTACCATTAGTATGTTGCTCTCTTGCCAGGGATTGTGGGATTGGCAACTATTCACTTAGATGATCACCTATGAGAACAGTAGTCCACCTCATGAAGAGTATAAATTAAGGATAATAAAGGAAAGGGTATCTCATTTGAAAGAATTTTAGCAACAATGATATATTATAATTATTAGTGTACAGAAAATCTAAAAAATAAAGTTTGCAAATTAATGAGACTAAATCATTCCATCATTTTGATATGAAATATGCTAAATTTGAGGCTGAATCACTTGGGTAATTCTAACTCCGAATAAGATTAAAAAAAATACTCAGAGGATCCATTTAGTCAAAACTGCCTATCAAAATAAGCAGAGGATCCCGAGATAAAGGCAACTGAAGTAATATATAAATATCAACTTTTCTGCAAGTCAAACTTAGCTCTGCCACTCCCAACTACTTAGGGGTCTATTCACTAAGCTGCCGTAGGCAGATAGCAATGCATTCCTATGGCCAAACATTTTAATTTTTTTTTCTATTCTGACACGGCTCCGTGTCAGAAAAAAGAGAAAGAAATGAAAAAGCAGTGTTTCTAACCTTGGCGGCCGGGAGCGGGAGACTCCCGGAGTGCCAGGGAGAGTTAGGCTGTCTGGAGATCAGTGTCCCTGGTTAGCTGGTAACCAGGGACGCTGATCTCTCTGCAAGTGGCCGGAGCCAGCCGTAAGATCACGGCTGGCTCTGCCTAGCTTTCAGAAGCAGGCTGCCGGCCGAGCCAGGGCATATGCGTTTGGCTCGACTGAGCCACTCAACCAAGTTCAGGAGCTGTGCGGGCTATAGTGAATAGCCCGTACAGCACCCCCTCGGTTCTCCTGAACCAAGGGGTCCAGGGGCCGAAGCTAGCCGAAGGATCGGCCGAAGCTACGGCTAGATCCTTCGGCTGCTTCGTGAATAGACCCCTTAGTCTTCAAATGGTAGAAGAAAAAACACACTCCAAATCAATCAATAACAATGTGTTTGTTTTTTTTTAATCCCTAGTACACTGGCTATCCACCTGAGCTCTCTCTCTGATGCGTTTCACTCAATAAGAATTTAGTCATAGCGTAAACAGCTAACAGGAAGAGGAAATGAACGCATATAGAAAATCACTGAAATTGTCTATGTTTCACATAAAACGCTAAATAAAAAAAATAGGAAATATGTACATTTATACAGATATAGATGTAACTAAATATTTATCAATAGTGATCATACTCATGATACTGTTTCTATTAAGTCATCATAATAATCATAACCATCATAATATTAAGGAATTACCTGTAGTAGTGAGATACATCACATTCGTAGTTTAAGCTTATCTGTAAATGTTTATTTAATGTAAATATCCATAAAACTTCTCAATTAAAAAAAAATGGAAAATGTATCTACACCTCTAACTGTATTTTCTACCACTTGCATTCTTAAGATCTCACATCATACTTATGAGCATCAGTTATGTGCTTAGCTAAATTTGCCCTTTTTTTGTTGATGGTCTCTCAATCTACCGCATACTCTTCTGGTCATCCAACTGCATATTGTATGCTACAGGTATTGCATGTGATACAACAGCTAGCATTACAGTTTACCAATTGTTTAATTGGATATATGTTTTCAGTACATGTGAATATTTAATGAAAATTACCAATATTTTTTACAGCGTAAATATCAAGGACCTTTTCTTTTAGCTTAAGGCTTTAAATTAAGCATACTCCATAATAAAGCATTACCAGAGTTAGAAACTTCAACATTCCCGGATAAATAGGATCACTCTAAAGTGTTTGTATATATTGATTACTGATACTTGTAATATGTTTAAATTCAAAGCTATGGATGGTTGAAAAAATCCTAGATTTTTTTCTCTCCCTTCTCCTTGTTATCAGTTTAATTATTCTCCATTTCACTTTTGACATCTCTCGTTAGATCTCCCCTTTCTCTCCCACTTGCATGCCTAATGCTTAATCTATTGTTTTGTTGTTATACCTTCTCTATTTAAATCATATTTTCACCACTTCATTGGCAAATGCAATCAAATATGAACAGTTATGGTTTCACCTAATATATTGCCCCTTAGGTATAGCTTGTACCTTGGGAATGGCAACTTTTGGCATGCAAAATTGATTTTTTGGAAATTGGCTGTTTGTATGTCTTAGTAAGGATATGTCCTGTAGAATCTTCCTGTCAGGCCAGGATTAGATAATTAACATGTCGCTAAAATCATAAAATAATAATATTTGCTTCAGCATGCCATTTTAACATCTCTTATCCTGAATAGTGATGAGCCGAACACCCCCGTGTTCGGTTCTAACTCGAACTTTCGAACATGGAAAAAGTTCTAACTCGAACTTAGAACTCAATGCAAGTCTATGGGGGTAGAACTCGGAAATTTAAATGTCCCCATTTTGAAGCCTTATATGCAATTTATTGGCCATAAAAAGTGTATGGGGATCCGGGTACTGCCTTGGGGGACATGTATCAATGAAAAAAACACTTTTAAAAAATACAATTTTTAAAGGAGCAGTGATTTAACATCACTTAAAATGAAACATTAAAAATTAAAAATTCCTTTAAATATGGTGCCTGGGGGGTCCCCTTTCACTGACCGTAAAGTGGCGCATCTGTATGATGTATAGAACCTGCTGAAGCAAAAATGACATTTATATACATTTTATTGATATTTATATAGAACTCTAATATATACAGAAGTCTGATTTATTATATATATATATATATAAAATCAGACTTCTGTATATATTAGAGTTCTATATAAATATCAATAAAATGTATATAAATGTCATTTTTGCTTCAGCAGGTTCTATACATCATACAGATGCGCCACTTTACGGTCAGTGAAAGGGGACCCCCCCAGGCACCATATTTATGAATTTTTCATTTTTAATGTTTCATTTTAAGTGATGTTAAATCACTGCTCCTTTCAAATTTTTATTTTTTAAAAGTGTTTTTTTCATTGATACATGTCCCCCAGGGCAGTACCCGGAATAAATATATATAATCAGACCCCGTCAGGTGCAGGACTGTAGCCAATTACCATTTTCGGACGGCGCAGTGCATTGTGGGATGTGCCGTGGTCGAACAGACCGCGGACATCCCATAATGTTCGGCGTTCGGCGAACGCTAGAACATGCAGCCCATCCTTAATCCTGAATCCTTTAATTCCTATCTGCACTTAAAGCCCATGAATACCTTTAAATATATGCTGAGAACCACATTTACATACATTCCCTG